TGATGCATTATCCTTTTCATTGCCAAATAGTTGTCTCTTTTCAACACTTTTTAATACTTTGAAAAGTGATTTTTGTTGCAAAGTTTTTCCCTTTAATTATTTTTTGGTTATTCATGTCTAAACACATAAAATCTTTCTTATATTTTACGCCAAAAACAACCATCATTTAAATGTGGTGTTAAATGCATGATTTTTAATGTCACAGAGTTTTCAGATTCATGAATTAAACACAAAATGAATTTTTATATCAAATTTAGCATAATCTATTAATAATTATTTTAAGCACATATTGTTTTCTCATTGTCTCTATATTTTGTATTATTGATTACAATTTAAAATCTAATTTAAATGATTACAAAAATATAAAGTATTGAAATGAAGTTTAATTCACAACATATTTAATAGAGGAATGAAAGCATTAATTATTTATATCCAGAAATTATTGAATTATAAAATGAAAATTATTAGAACTTATAATTATAGAGACAATTAAAATCATGCATACATTTTGATGACATATTGATGCATTATCCTTTTCATTGCCAAATAGTTGTCTCTTTTCAACACTTTTTAATACTTTGAAAAGTGATTTTTGTTGCAAAGTTTTTCCCTTTAATTATTTTTTGGTTATTCATGTCTAAACACATCATATCTTTCTTATATTTTACGCCGAAAAACAACCATCATTTAAATGTGGTGTTAAATGCATGATTTTTAATGTCACAGAGTTTTCAGATTCATGAATTAAACACAAAATGAATTTTTATGTAAAATTTAGCATAATCTATTAATAATTATTTTAAGCACATATTGTTTTCTCATTGTCTCTATATTTTGTATTATTGATTACAATTGAAAATCTAATTTAAATGATTACAAAAATATAAAGTATTGAAATGAAGTTTAATTCACGACATATTTAATAGAGGAATGAAAGCATTAATTATTTATATCCAGAAATTATTGAATTATAAAATGAAAATTATTAGAACTTATAATTATAGAGACGATTAAAATCATGCATACATTTTGATGACATAAATGAATGGACATTAAAATTCATGTCAAATGCTTATCTAAATATTAGGCAATCATTGGGTTATTATATAATGTCTAAAAATAAACGGCATAACTAATGCCTATCCCTAACTTTAATTGTATATCACATCTGATAAGCAATATTTACCATAAAATCTATATATTTTCCGGTCATAGAAAACAACAGCGAATTTTGATATTAATTCTTAAGATTTTAATCCATTAGGAGTTATGTAGTCGTAAATTGAATACAAATTTCATTACAAGCAATGATTAGAATTAATAATTTGGTTACAAATCAGTCATTTCAGTGTTTGGGACGTGACATGAATTTGATCTGTAATTATAGCATACATTTATTTTGCGGACAGATTCTCACCGGACTATACATCGGAAGTGTTAGGGACTCCAAAGACGTGGAACAGCTTAAGAGTAATTGCATTTCGCATATTATATCCATTCACGACAACGCCAGGAGAGGCGGACAAGAAGTAAGTGATCGATGTCTTCATCATTTCCAAACAATTATAGCCATAGATATGAGACTCATATGATATGACCCAAAAGTGAGATGTTTTGGAAAAATTGAATTTATTTGAAATATTTCTATCATTTACTCCAATGAAAGGCATTAAAACAAATTAACGACTCAACGCATTGGAAAGCTTTTGCCCGATCTATTTAATCCTCAATCCTATGTGTATAACATGTGTTTAACTTAGCGGCAAAACTAATTACAAATCAGTTAAAATTAATACTAATATGTGAGGCCAGCCATTGGTCTAAATATTTTGTTTATCTCATCGCCAGTAACGGATTAATAGTTGTAACGATTGTCTAATAATATAATGCTATAATTTAGTTAAATATATTACTCTACATTTACAGTATATGAAAACTTTAAAAGGATTTTCAAATTTAGATTAATGAGTGGTTTATGTGTTTGGAAATGTGTTCAAACGTGAGAACAAAAGGGATTCAATCATACAAATGATGAAACAATGAGATGATGTGTTGTGAATACCATTAATGACAGATAGGACTCGTTTGTATAGCAGGGGATGATAGAGATGGTAGGGATAGTAGAACTGATTGGTATGGCATACGAGGAAAAAGTATTGATAGAATTGATGACTTGTTTGCTATCATAAATCACAGTCAATACTACACTATAAACCATTTTCAATCATTTAATCCAATTCTTCCTATTTATTGTCCGTTTTTGTCGATTCAGTAATTAGTTTAAGAATTGACAAAACTATCAAATAATTAAATTGGTCCTAAGGTCAAATTTATATACAAAAGTCATATTTAAATTAGTTTGTCTATTATATCAATAGCAATGATTACATTAAATCAAAGTTAAAATTATTAATTGAACATTTAATGGTTATTAGACAAAAAATTGTAGTAAATGTCACATTAAATGTACATTTATCTTATTTAGTTCATTATTACAACAATTAGTGTAATATTTATAGTGGAAATGAGTATTAAATTCAATGATTCAATAGATATGTACCGAAAATATGAAAAAAGCGGAATTCGTGTTCACTTTTGCGGTGAATACTGAATGACAAAAGAGACGGCTTTTTTGTATCAGTTTCTGAATTATTGATATTTTCTGTTAGTATTCATTAATTCTTTATTGGCTTTTATGGTATTAATAATCATTGCTTTAACTATTAGATAGCATTACATTATCTTATATTAATGTCTGTTTAATATCACATGTTTTCCCATTTGGTTTCATATGTTGTAATAATTGAATTCCCGGTCATATTATTGATAAAAGCATAAAAATTTTAAGATAATTAAAACNAACTATTAGATAGCATTACATTATCTTATATTAATGTCTGTTTAATATCACATGTTTTCCCATTTGGTTTCATATGTTGTAATAATTGAATTCCCGGTCATATTATTGATAAAAGCATAAAAATTTTAAGATAATTAAAACCCGCTATTTTCTAGTCAATATTATCCATTGCACAGCACTTTATCTCATTGTCTTTTCAATCGATTACATGAAAAACAATCGATAAAATCAAAATTTTTATACATAAAAACAATATAGATTTGTAATTATATAAGTTTTCTAACATATATTTTTTTTCATGTACTGTCAGGACGTCGAGTACTTATGTATATTAGCGTCGGATACACCCAATCAAAACTTGAGCCAATTCTTCTCTCAGGTAAACACTTTTTATTGATTACTTAATTAATATTAAGTATTTTTATGAATAATTTTTAATTATACTTTCCTTTCAGTGCAACGATTTTATTCATTGCGCCAGACTTTCCGGCGGATCTGTTTTAATACATTGGTTTGTATTCTTGTTGTTATTTCACATGTTTTTATTATTAATTCATTATTTTAATCGTCATATTCTGTAACAACAATACTATGAAAGCTGCGAATTCATGCTTATATTTAATTGCATACACTTTTTGATTTCGGTACATATTTTAAGCATTTATTTTTGTAATTAAAATTCCTTTCATCACACTTTAAAATGTGATTTAATATCCAAATCAAAAGTTGAGAAAATTATTTGTATTGTTTGAGTGGTATTGTTGTCATATCAACGATAATAAGCACTCATTCATTCTCTCGTATAATAAGACTAGAAAAATATTATTTCTCAGCGTTTGAGTGAATATACAATTGTTTGTAATTATTTAATCATTTGTTTAGTTAGAGAATAGATATTCAGTAATCAAATAAGAGAAGACAAATGGCTTTTGTCTGCAAATTCTTCACATAATATCCGGACAGTAAATGAATAGATCTATTGATTTAGTTATTCTCAATGTTATGTTTTGGCCATAAAATATAGATTACATAAAATGGGATGAGATTTCAATAGATTAGAAATGTAAAAACATTATAAATACAGCTAATAATCATTATTAACTTAGTATACTGTATATTCTTTTAAATTATTTTTCAAATAATAAATAATATATAAATTTAATTTATGTATTTAATTTTATAGATGAAGTTTTATAAAACAATTTATTATTTATGTGTTTTTGATAAGTTATATATTTTGTAATTAATTACATGTCCATTTTTCCAAGAATTGTTGATTAATTAGTTTTGATTTACCAAAACTTTTGATGCTTTAGTGTTAATGAGAAGCTGAGATGGAAAGTGTCTTTAAAGGGTTTTGTGAGTCAAATGTTGTGATTCTTGCAATTTATTATGAATTCATTCAATCATTCATTTGTGTAATAATTTTCACGCAATTCTTAATGTGTTTTTTTGTGCAAGTTTTTTCGGTTAAATTAATGCTTTCGGCCGTGACTTTAAAGTTTTTGCATTTTAACACAACACTCGGGGCTTAAATACCATATTACAATATAAATACCATATACAGTGAACTTTCTATATAGTGGTCGAGCAGTTGGTAAACATTTTTGGACACTGTATAGAATGATCACTCTATGGAATGTATAGAGAATAGTAGGGAAAATAAGTGTATATACTATTAAATGTGAAATAATCATATATTAAGATTGTTTAATGTTTATGAGATAAAAATTGAAAAATTGTTTATTAATTTCATTGAAACATCCTAATTTCAAATCATTATAAGACAAAAAATAGTTGTCTCATACCATAAAACACAATAGAGAGCGTAAAAGTAGCAAAATATAACCAAAAATAGCAAAATTTTGGCCACTATATGGAAAATTGACTGTATGGAGAGTCACTATATGGAGCGTAAATAACATT